ATGGCAGGTGGCAGCGCCAGGGCGGGGCCCCTGGCAGCCATGCTCCGTGTCTGCACCATGTCTGAGCTGCTCCTGCTGCTTTTGCTCACTGGAGGTGCCACTCTGGACAGCTACCTCGTGCCCGCCTTATGTGAACACCAGCACAAACGCCAGCACACCCTTACAGAGCGCGCCTGTTCACGCACGCTGCCCGCGCGCAGCTCGGGAGCGCAGCTCCCTGTCGGGTAAGCTAAGAGGGCTCCGAAGGGCTTCCCCTCCAGATCCACCTCAGCTGTGCTGTACCCTCTGCCCCACTTACCTTAGGGGGAATCAGCTGTTGCTGCCCCCGCCTCTGTCTCCTCTGCAGCTGCTGCCTCCGCCGCCAAGGTAAGGGGGTACACGTGTGTGTGTGGCACATGTGCGCCCTCCTCCCTCTGCTCCTGCCAGTGGTTCCTTCCTTCCTTTGTCAGTTTGCTGTGCTGAATTAAAAGTAGAAAATAATGATATTTGGGAATAATTCTGCACTGGAGGAGACATCATGAGAGGAGGTAATAGACCAGTGGTTCTCAACCATTTTAGACTCCAGGCAGCCCCGGGAAAATGCCAGTTCTTAGTTTTAATTTTTTTTTTGACTGCAGAAAAATAATAAAGCAATTCTGCTATTACAAAGAACTCAGAAAATTCACAACAGGTTAGAATGTTTTTAACACTGTGGATTTCTCTTTGAAATCTCTGGGTTTTTTCTTATGAATTATGTATGCACACTAAGACCCTACTCCAAGGTGATGCAGCACCCTGACTGAGAATTACTGGTTGAGTGTAATAGATTGTTTCACTTTATGGTTATATCTCTAGGTCCCTTGCTCAGTCCCTAGGCAGTCTGCCACTTGAAGTCAGTGGAAATTTGGCAGATGGAGAAGCACCTGACATAGAGATTTGGTTTATGGCTTGAACAGCTTATTCAAAACTCTAGCACAAATACTAAACCTGCTAGGCAAAGTGGAATGCACTGGGCTGCTGCGTCTTCCCTGCAATGTAAAGGGAGTGAACATCTGGATTTTGTATCTGATTGAAATGGTCAGTTTTCCTGAGTTATATGGAACTTACCTATATCTCTAAAGGAGTCTAACATTTTTTTTCACTTCCTGGTACACTCCAGTCTTTCTTATCATGGTAAATAATTCCCTCTACATTGGCTTGGGTGTTCTGCTACTCAACCACATTCACACCCTGAAACAATATTGTTTTTTTCACCTGTCTTAACCTCTGCCCCACATTTCTCTTCACATAACATTTCCCTTTACTAACTTGCACCACCAGTCTCTCAGATCTGCACACCATACATCCTCCCCTACAGGACCATGGAAACTTTATCAAACACCTCATACCCAGAGGGTACATCTGGTAGCCAAATAGAGAATATGGGGAGAGAATAAAAGAATGGGGTTATGTAGCTATGCCCATGCAAAAGCTCAGGCTTTCCCTAGCTGTTGGAAAGGATAGAAGAGGTGGGGAGCTATGACTCTGCTGTCCATGGACTTTTCAGGGGCAAGTGGTCATATATTTCATAGAAAATTAGGGTTGGAAGGGACCTCAGGAGGCCATCTAGTCCAACCCGCTCCTCAAAACAGGATCATCCCCAATTATATTATCCCAGCCAAGGCTTTGTCTAGCCTAGTTTTAAATACCTCTAAGAATGGAGAGTCCACAGCTTATCTGGGTAACCTGTTCCAGTGCTTTACTACCCTCATTGTGAAAAAGTTTTTTCTAATATCTAACCTAAACTTAGCTTGCTACAACTTGAGATGACCATTGCTGCTTCTTTTGTCATCTGCCACCACTGAGAACAGTTTAGCTCCATCCTTTTTGGAATCACCCTTATGGGAGTTGAAGGATGCTATTAAATCCCCTCTCAGTCTTCTCTTCTCCAGACTAAATAAGACCAGTTCCCTCAGCCTGTCCTCATAAGTCATGTGCCCCAGCCCCTGAACCACTGTCATTGCCCTCTGCTGGACTCTCCAATTTGTCCACATCCTTTCTGTAGTGGGGGGCCCAAAACTGGACAGTACTCCAGATGTGGCCTCGCACGGCACAGTAACTGCTCATATTGTGCTGTACTTCCACATGGAAGTACTAAGCATGGTGCTGTAGCAGTGTCACACACCTATTGAGTCATTGATTACTACCCTTTGAGCTTGATGATCCAGGCAGTTTTCTATCCACCTTAAAGTCCATTCATCTAACCCATATACTCTTAGCTTGCTGGTGAGAATGTTGTGGGATACCATATCAAAACCCTTACTAAAGTCAGGGTATATCACATCCACTGCTCTCCCAGCATGCAAGCCATTCATCTTATCACAGAAGGCAATTAGGTTGGTCAGGCATGACTTGCCCTTGGTGAAACCATGCTGACTGTTCATGATCACCTTCTTGCCCTCCAAGTGCTTAGAATTGGGATTTCTTGAGGACTTGCTCCATGATTTTTCCATGGACTGAGGTGAGGCTGACTGGTCTGTACTTCTCCAGATCCTCCTTCTTCCCTTTCTTAAAGATGGGTACCATGTTTGCCCTTTTCCAATTGTCCTGGGTCCCTCCCAATTACTATTTTTCAAAAGTAATGGCAAGTGGCCCTGCAATCACATCAATCAACTCCCTCACCACCCTTGGGTGCGTCATGCCTGGCCCCATGGACTTGTACACATCCAGTTTTTCTAAATAGTCCCTAACCTGTTCTTTTGCCACTGTTGGCTGCTCCCCTTCTCCTCAAACTCTGCTGCCAGGTGCAGTAGTCTGGGAGCTGACTTTGCCTGTGAAGACTGAAGTGAAAGAGGCATTGAGTACTTCAGTCTTTTTTGCATCCTCTGTCACTAGGTTGCCTCCCCCATTCTGTAAGGGGCCCGCACTTTCCCTAATCTTCCTTTTGTTGCTGACAAACTTGTAGAAACCCTTCTTGTTACCCTTCATGTCCCTTGCTAGTTGCTAGTCGAAGTCTGCTTTTCTGAAGAAGTACTCTGCTCTTCTCCTTCCTTCCTTTCCTCAGGATCCTAAACTCAATCATCTCACGGTCATTGCTGCCCAAATTGCCATCCACTTCTATGTTACTCACCAATTCTTCCATGTTTGTGAGCAGCAGGTCAAAAAGAGAAAGGCTGCTAGTTGGTTTTTCCAGCACTTGCACCAGGAAATTGTCCCCAACACTCTCAAAAAACTACCTGGATTGTCTCTGCATTGCTTTATTGCCCATGCATTGCTGTATTGCCCTCCCAACAAATGTCAGGGTGACTGAAGTCCCCCCTGAGAACCAGTGCCTGTAATCTGAAAACTTCTGCTAGTTGTTGGAAGAAAGAATCATCCACTTCATCCTCCTGGTCTGGTGGTCGATAGCAGACACCCGCCACAACATCACCCTCATTGCTCTCCCCTTTTACCCTAACAGGCCTATCTTCAACATGCCTATCTCCAATTTCATACTGAAGCTTTGAGCAATCATACAGCTCTTTTACATAAAATGCAACTTCTTCTCCTTTTCTCCCGTCTGTCCTTCCTGAACAGTTTGTATCCATCCATGACAGTGCTCCAGTCATGTGAGCTCCCACCAAGTCTCTGTTATTCTAATCGCATCATAGTTCTGTGACTGTGAGGACTTCCATTTCTTCATGTTTGTTTCCTATCAGTGTGTGACTAGTCAGCATCATCTGAATTATGAAGTCCTACTAATGGAGGGAAGGAGAGTTCTCTCCATTTCTGTTTTTCTTTCCAGACCTGGATTAAGGCAGTCTGGGCTCTACCCACACTGTGACACAGTGCTGCCTCATTTCCACATATAGAATAGTAGTAATGTAAGGTCCTCCTCCCATCCTAGAGAAGTCAAAGCAGTGTTTTGGGCTCTCCTTCCATTGAGAACTTCAAGGGTGACAAGAGGATGTGTCCCATCAGTCCAAGGTGGGGGGGATGGAGTCTCCAATCCACCTGCCCCACCCTCAAGTGGCAAACCCCAGACTGAGCTCCCTCCCCTCCCTTCCCCACCTCCTATTCTGAAGACACCACTAGAGCTGGGAGGCAGGGGGCAGGGCTAGGGTACAGCCACTCCAAACTGGTACTCTGTCCTCCAACACCTTGGACTCAACAGCAAACTTCCGTTGGGTCGGTGGGGGAGACGCTATAACTCAGGGGGAGTACTTGGAACGGTCCTATGGGGTACACACAGGCAGGCGGGGATGGAGCACCGCCACTCACCACCCCACACACACCGCCTCCCAGGAGCAGGGCTGGGGGCGGTGAGGGCAGCAGCGCCCCTCTGTGGGCCACACAGGCACTGCCAGGCCAGCCAGACGTTGGGGGGAGGGATGAGATGAAGCTCGCACGCGGCAGCTCCCACCACCATCCGCCACCCCATGCCACTGCCGCGTGCAAGCTTCCCTTCCTCCCCCCACTAAGCGTCCAGCCACCACCACCAGAAGGAGTATAGTTCTTAAAAAAGGTTGAAAAGCCCTCCTGTAACTCATGGTGTAACTCATGAGTTACAGCAGGGAGCTGCACATCTGTCAGTGCCCTGGAGGACAGGCAGTTTCCCAGTCCTTACCTCAACAGCTACATCTGTCTGCTTGTATGCTCTGAGCTGAATGCACTGTATTTGTCATGCACAATCCTCTGCTGGGATGCAGGCAATGATGAGGTTTCCCAGGAGTAGGTCTCAGGCACATGGCAGTTTACACCTCAGAGCTATTATTTCAGAATGCCTGCAGACTCAGACAGACATAAATGCATCAGTTACACCTTTGTCACAGTAACTTCTCTTTCACAAACATAGGGATTAGAAACCATTTTTAAACCAAAGGCATAGGTACATATGCAAAATGTGAGGCAAAGTGTACAGGGCTTTAACACATGTAATCTGCTCTGCAGCAATTGCTGGTATGTATGTTTTTATCCCTGTGGTAAATGGAAGCTACCCAGTGATACCCTACCTGCTAGACAAAGATAGATAAGCCACTGCACATTCAGTTTGGGGGGTTTTTCAGGGTAAGAGCATGCATGCGGACAGTTAGTGAGAGTCTGATTTGTGGTAAACTGTTTGGGGGCCCATGCCCCAGTGATTGAAGGAACTGGGGCCATAGAAGCAGGCTTGTAGCTTTGTGTTTGACATGATTGGAAGGGTCTGTGGTCTTCTACTGGCCCCCACAGACTGAGAAAGTGGGAAAGCATTTCTCCATGGGGCTCTTCCCAGTCAGCAGCTCCAGGACAGCCTTCCGCTCAGAACTTTGCTGAAACTGGCAGCTCCCGATTGTCCTGATTCTTTATGAGTTTAGTGCTGATCACATGATCCTGAAGAGCAGCAGCCCAATCTGACAAGAGGCTGGTCAGGTTTCACTCTGCTGCACCTTGACAGCTCTGAGCAATAGCACAAACATTAAAGCTCCCAGTGTGCAAACTTGGACAGACAGCGCTGCACTAGCTTGCACCCTGTTCCCAGCTGGAAGGTTATCTGTGCAAACAAGTACTTAATTTTGAAAACAGAAGTCTGCAGCAGTTATGGACACATTCCTTCCTACTGGCTACAGGTGAGCAGGTTTTTCAAGCCTTGTTTGGCCTTTTGATTTTAAAAAAGTAAATGCAAATACCAAAGAAGAGGCATCAGAAGTGAAAAGAGAGGAAGAAGGTAAGAGTGAGGCTAGCAAGGGTGGAAGATTCACTCTGTGTGTAAATCCAATCCTTTCTGAGCTCCACCCTGCCAGTGGCATCCATTGCCAGGGAAACAGGATCTACTCTGAACTAATTTGTGTATCTGGAAAATCTTATTCCTAAAACTGTTCTCAGACCCAAGGAAATCCCAGCTTTCCTTTCCAACATTTGATGGTGTAGTGATGATAGCCATCTGGTACCCTTGTGTGGCAGCTACCTCAGCAACTGAAAGGGAAGAGAGAGATCCTCCTGCTTGGTGGCTTGTATTGCCTGTGATGTATGCTATAGAAATGAAAAACTAGTATTTACTGAGGCAGAGTGTTTTCTGAAAGAAATGGAGTTTCCAATACTGGCAGCTTATATGTGAAGTTGCAACCTGTGGTTACTCATTACCAAGATTTTCAAGAAAAGTAAAGGGAGGGAAATGATTTTAAAAGTACCTCGGGATCAGTGTAAGTTGCATTATTGCCATCAGATGTGGTTTTATTTCACACTATTTACTAAACAGGAATTATAACCATGGCAACACTTATATCATGACACGCACTATATATATGGATCTGCCAACAGCAAGAGTGAAATGCATGTGTGGAGATAGAACTTTTTGCAAGTAGAGTGTGAATGTGGAACTCACTTCCAGCAGAGATCAGGAGGACCACATACATTATCACCTGCAAAGCAAGTAAAATGTATAATTTACCACTTCAATCTAGTCTTACCCCAAGAAAAAAAACTTGTAGTGTTATTGAGTTAGTTCCCACCTCACTGTAGTGACATACATAGTTAGTAAGTGAGGTCCGTTGGGATGAATATCATGTGACTCCTTGAATTTGTAGGAGTCATAAAATACTAATAATCTTTACATGGGGCTATATACCATTCAAACTGAAAATTGATCTTTTTTACAGAAATTATAAACATACATTGGTTAAACACTTGGTATAAAATTTATTTCATTTTCTGATAAAAAAAGGAGGGGGTAAGAGGAACATAGGACTACAAGAGACCTCCTGGATCATTGAGCCAGACCTTGCCACAATCACATTGGTACACTCACCAAACACATTAAAATCAGATACGTTTTTTTGCCCTCACTTGTTGAAAATCTGTTCCAGAATCTCCTAGTAGAAGAAGTTTGCTTTAAGAATTAGGAGAAAGTTCTGGGAAATACAATACCATTTTTGTGTATCTATAAATCTAACTTTTTTAAAATAAAGGAACAAAGTCAACTAAAACATGTTTCTCTCAAAAATCTTACAGGCTGTTTGACTATAAAACTGAAATATTTCTCAATTAGATTATATTGCAAATTTTACAACACTTTGTCTATTGCCAACTGCACTGTTTTCCATGAAGTTGGTTTCACCATTTGTTTGCATATGTTACACAGCAAACAGAGAGAAAAACAGATCTATATAAATAAGCTAACAAAAATTATTTGGGAGACCTGTAGGAAAGTGTGAAACTAGCTTTCAAGCTGACTCTGCCCCTTTAACAAATACAGTGACTGCTCTTTATTGCTGCCAGATGCCATTTCAGGATACCTCATCACCCTATCTGATGGAATATCTCATGTGGAATAACTTCTTTGAGTCAATGCTATAAATGACAATTATGGAGCAGAGGAGGTTGCATCATGCATCTCCGTTGCTGCCTTAGTAGTAAGTAGTGATGCTTTTAGGAGGGGCACATTAAAGAGTCCTAATGATGGTACTGGTCCATGCAAATATTACTAATAATGTGGAAAAGTGTTAAATTTTCTGTTCTGTACTCAAGGAAAGAGCCAGATTTCATCATATCACAGGAAGAAGAAACACTTTCCATTCCAGCAGTAACTCAAGAGGACATTAAACAGCTGCTAAAGCTAGACATTTTCAAATCAGTAGGTTCAAATAACTTCCACCCAAGAATCTTAAAAGCACTGTGTGAGGAGCTTTCATGGCTGGTAATGTTAATTCAGTAAGTTGTGGAACACAGCAAAGAAGTTCTAGGGAACAGAAAGAAAACTTGTGTGTCAATATTTTACAAAGGTAAACAGGACCACCCAGATAATTAGAGGCTGTCAGTTTGATATCCATTCTAGACAAAATAACAGAACAGTTGATACAGGACTTAATTGATTTTTTTAAAAAGTAATGAGAAAACAGATCCATCAAACTACCTTGGTTATTGAATTACATGTTTGATAAAATAATAGTGCTGATGCAATACTTAGATTAGCATTATGTAATTGACTTGGTACCAGAGGACACTTTGATTTTGTCTCATTTACATTTCTTAATCAATATGGTGCACATCAAACAGATTAAAACCTTTCAAAATGTAATTGTGAATAGAGAATTGTCATAAAGTGGGTGTGTTCCTAGTAAAGTCCTAGGAAGGTACTCCAGGGTTTTGTTCAATTTAAAAGCATAACCAATAGAGTCGGTTGATGACCTAGGGCTTGGGGAAGTGGGAAACCATAAAGGCAACAGGTTACTGATACAAAACCTTCTAGATAGTTTAAGCCAAAGGCTAACAAGCATGGTGTCCCATGGCCAGCCATGAAGTCATACTTCTAGGACAAGGAAGGCAGGCTATATTTAAAGAATAGGGAGCTATATACTGAAAAGCAGTGATTCTGAATATGACTTGAGGGTTTTTTCAGATAAGCAGAACTTGCATGTAAGGCTGAGAACCCCTTTCTGTTTAAAATCCCCCTGCCTGTGTGGAGTGCCCATGGGGCTTCATGGTAAGATTAGTGTTCCGAATGTGGGGATAGCAGGGTAGGGGTTTCCCAAGACCTAGTCCCCTGGCAAGGTGAGTGAAGCAGCTTTTCTTAAGGTTGACATTCTACCAAGATTTTCTCCACACACTGGGGGACCAAAACATAGTTGTGGTTGTGCGCAAAACATTGCAATTGTTTGCTCATTACCCCAAGTAGATTATGGTGCCCTCATTCACTTTCAGAAAATAATGTTGAAAATGGAATTAAAAAGAAGTTTGGCTTTCAGTAGGAGTATGGGCTAAACGGATTATGCTGTCCATGCTTACATAAAGTAGCAAAAAGGGCTTGTAGCCTGCCAGATTTCACATGAGCTGGGTAACTCAAGGTGATTTAAAGTAGCTATTGAAGATGACCTATGCCCATCCAATGTCAGTTTAAATCCACCTCTTGGTAGAAGTCTGGAGGGAGGAAAAAACTGACTATAATCTTTCTGTCAAAAAGGTTGTTTATTTTGGGGAACTATAATCTGAGAACAAGGAAATTCAGAAGGCATTCAAACAGTGCTTTGCAAAAAAAATAAATGCTTCTTGCAAGGGAGATAAAGGAAGAGGAGTGAGAGGTATGGAGAAGAGTAGAGTATGTGGCAGTGGTGAGGGGAATGGGGTCACTGGAAAAAAAAAGGGTTTGAAGGCTCAGGCCAGGGTGGGGATTAAGGGAGGAGTGGAACGCTAGAAGAGTTGATATGGGATGGCTTGAAGGGTGAATAGGGTCAGCCCCACAATTTCCTCTACCATGCACTAGACTCTGGGAAACTGTGTCCCTTTTGGGGTGTCTGAACTCCCCTCTACTCCCAGATGAGCTGGAAGGATGCTCAGAGCCATTCTGGTTGAGTTTAAGTCCCTCTCCTCATCCCCTGCACATGTGCTGGCATCTAGTGGGTCCTGTCTCTCTAGAGCCATCTGAACCTCTCTCTGTCTCCAACAGGGGCTGGTGTTTAGGGAGGTCTAACCTACCTGTATAGGGAGCTAAGGACAGGAAGGGTGGAGGCATGCACCAGGTGCACTATACTGAGACTGTCTGAAGAGCTTAATCAGCCTCAAAGCACATGAATGAGGAGGAGAAGATGAGAACCGAGCACTGAGATGAAAGGAGCATTCATATCTCTGTATTGGGCCTCAGGTTGGATGTAGGTTAATTGGTCCCAAACAAAGGAGGAAACATTGAGTCAGATCAGCAGTTCGCCTAATTTGCCTAATATCTGATGAAGGTATAGTCTTCCCAAACTTTTCCAGGTGAAAGAAATTGATGCATCTTAGGCCTTGGCCATCTAAGGTGCTCAGTGCTCTCAACTTGATAAGTCAGTTAAAGCACAGGACAATCTGTACCTCATAGAACTGGTAGTCTTGTTTATCAAGGGTTTTGCAAACCTCCATATTAATACACCAAAACAACGAATAGAAATATCTTGCTATATCCCAATTTTTTCTATGCAACGAAGTAAGAAATATTTTTTGCTTACCTGAAAGTCTCTTTTCTCCAAGTAACTAAAATTTAAGATCCTCTAAAATTGGCAGTTTGGCCTGCTTGCAGCAGGACAGCAAACTACACTAGCACCAGGATAGTGCCCCCACTCACTAATTATTTTGGAGTCTCACAAACTGGACCTGCATGTAATTTTTATCAAAGGAATCACTGTGCAGTGGTGGGAACTCAAAAACAGTATGCAGCTATGTATGAAATTTAAAGTAAGTAGGGAAGCATGTCTGAATGAGATCAGCATTCCTAATAGGCTCCAATAAGAATTGAATTTTTGTCTGTGATACTATTTATTTTCCTTTAGGGTCATCTGTATCTCCTGTTAACATTCTTCTAAGATGAGACCTTGTCTCTGATTGTATTCATCCACAGACCAAGCTTGTGAATGACTTTCCGGTTGCTGTCAGTCAGTCATAATGATTCAAAGATACTCCAGAAGTTGCATCACTGTGCTTTGACTTC